TAGCGTATTAGGCTACTCTTATGACCAAAAATGACAGAGTAACCTATTCCAAGTTCTTTCCACAGGAAAAAATGCAAGGGATTGCGCGGGAGCCTCCATGTCATTCAGTAAGTGCAATAATACTCCCACACTTCTCATAAACACTTGATATGCACATCTATCTATCTTGCTACATCCTGACAGCAATGGACAATGTCGTTTGTGTCAAATGGGATCATATTTGTTGCTGTGTTTCACTGGCAGTGTGAACAGGTCTTACAGTATATGCAGGTACCTCACTGGGTTTTGGAACAGAGCTCATTTGTCCATCATTCAAGAAACACAACTGACTATATGTAGACTCCTGGTACGAAGGAGTGAACATGTCCTTTGTGTGAACATGTGTTCCTGTCTTACCTGGTACAATCATGCTGGTGAAGCCCTCTCCATGTCCAATTCCCAGAACATCTTCAAAGGGGCAGTACGCAAGACCCCAAATTTGCCCTCGAAGGCGGTGAGCCATGTAGGGTTTGGATACAGGACTGCTTCCCAAAATGTTCTGATAAACCTATGGACACAAACATACAGCTCTATTATTGTAATAATAGTTATAGTAACTCTAATTAACAAAACTTCTAAGTATTATTAACAGCAACTCGTGTGTGCATCTTCAGGAGAGCAAGCATACGTGATGTACTTTATGCAGTTTCTTTGTCCCTTTCAAATTATCTATATAACATTTCAAACAATATATATATATGTTATTTTTCTATCTTATCAAGGGTTAGTTCACCCAAAAATGAAAATGTGATGTTTATCTGCTTACCCCCAGGGCATCCAAGATGTAGGTGACTTTGTTTCTTCAGTAGAACACAAACAAAGATTTTTAACACAAACCGTTGCAGTCTGTCAGTCTTATAATGGAGGTGAATGGGAATCACGGCTTTGAGAGTCAAAAAAACATACACATACAAAACCAAATTAAACCCTGCGGCTCGTGACGATACATTGATGTGTAAAGACACGAAACGATCAGTCTGTGCAAGAAACTGAACAGTATTTATATCGTTTTTTACCTCTGATGCACTGCAATGTCTGAACTGTACTGAGTGCGCTCGCGTCGTCGTCTTCAGCCTGCGCTTGAGGCATCATCTTCTTCTTCTTCAAGAAGAAGACGACGCGTCACGCGCCAGCTGTTGAACACGCTCAGGACAGTTCAGACATTGCAGTACATCAGAGGTAAAAAGCTATATAAATACTGTTCAGTTTCTCGCACAGACAGATCGTTTCGTGTCTTTACACATCAATGTATCATCACGAGCCGCAGGGTTTAATTGAGTGCTGTTGGCTTAAGTAAATTAGAGATAAATGGACACTTCCATCTTAAAGGGATAGTCCACCCAAAAATAAAAAATCTGTCATCATTAACCCATCCTCAAGTTGTCCCAAACCTGTACAAGTTTCTTTCTTCTGTTAAACAAAAGAAGGTATTTTGAAGCATGTTGACAGTAGCTATTGACTTCCAAAGCATAGGGAAAAAATGCTACTGATTAACAACTGAAGAAAGTTTGGTTAACAACTTTCTTCAAAATATCTTCTTTTGTGCTCAGTAGAAGAAAGAACTCGGTTTGGAACAACCTGAGAGGGAGTACATGATGACATTCTTTATTTTTGGGGGGCAATATCCCTGTAAGGTTAATGACAGTTGTGAAGCATTAATTTCCCACTGCTTCTGTTTCGGTATAATTACAATGAAATGGTACTGGTCTGATTTCAGGGATGGGTGAAAGGGGTCATGAAATGCAGTTTCAGATTTTTATGTATCTCAAGGTTAGTTTATAAAGTTTTCTTTTTGTACCAAAAAAACTCCAGTATTTGTAAAAAGATCATTTTCCTCATCTCAATCTGTGAAAAAAACTCAACCACTACTGTGATTGGCTAACTTCACTGCACCGTTTTCACGCCCTCCTTTACAGCATGTCATGTGTTTTGATACTCCGGATGGCAATCGCTATGAACTGAGCCGTATATGTTTGAGCCAGATCCAAAAGTAAGAAATTGAAACAACGCAACCACGACTTCAACAGTGTTTTTCAGCATGGCAATTGCTTTTGCTTGCTTAATTTAAGGTATTTGTCATATTACAAAAGATGCTGCTTGTACTCAGGTATGAACCCATTGTATTAACAACACTCAAACAATGATACGCTTGGTGTCCTAATAGCATTAAACGCTGGTTTGACATAAAAATAAATGTACTTACCTGCCTTGCCTCAGAGGACATTTCTAATTTAAACTTTCTGATTTTTAGAAAGGCTATGCACCTTTTTGGAGGTGCAGTTAGAAAAGAATAATTCTTATTTTACACTGCAGAGTTAGTTTTGAGTTCTGAAACTTGCAGTATGTTTTTACTATAGAGTAACCTCTTTTTGTGTAAATATCGAGAACATTTTGATTCCATTTCATGCCCCCTTTAAAGGGTTGGGTCAGGACTATGCTCTTTGCAAGCAACAACAACAACAGTTTATCCAGAAAGTTTTACTTGTGTGTATATGTACACTACCTGTACAATATCTCCAGTAGCAGCACTGAGTAGTCCTCTCTGGCTTAGAGATAAGCAAGAGGCTCCAGCAGGGAGGAAACAGGAGTGAAGAGGTTTAAAAGCTCTGATATCATACACCTTTAGCTTCCTGTCCAGACCTGACGTCACCATGTACCTGCAATAAACAAATTATCTTACTGGTATAAATAAAGGGAAAGTAAGGTATGATCTAGGGCTGCAACAAATTCAACAATAAAAAAAAAAGAATGCATATGGACAAAATGCAGCACATGACACAGAATGAGCTGCTGCTGGAAAAGTGCACAACCCAAGTTGCCCTAAACATAAAAAACGCTGTGTATGAAGCATTTCAAACAAACTCATAAGCATATAGTTTAACACGGATTGCTTGTCGGGGAAGTCGTGGCCTAATGGTTAGAGAGTCGGACTCATAACCCAAAGGTTGTGGGTTCGAGTCTCGTACCGGCAGGGATTGTAGGTGGGGGGAGTGAATGTACAGCGCTCTCTCCCACCTTCAATACCACGACTGAGGTGCCCTTGAGCAAGGCACCGAACCCCCAACTGCTCCCCGGGCGCCGCAGCATAAATGGCTGCCCACTGCTCCGGGTGTGTGTTCACGGTTTGTGTGTGTTCACTGCTGTGTGTGTGCACTTTGGATGGGTAAATGCAGAGCACTAATTCCGAGTATGGTGACATGGCTGCTTCAACACTAACTGCGGTTACTGAAACCACGCCTTCTTTCTTTGCGTGCACATTTGGGCGCATTATGCAAATATTCCCACATAGTGAGGTAGATATGTGGGGGCGTGTTAGAACGAGGCGTTTTAGGGGGGCGTGGCAGAGTCTTAACTTTGATAAAGAATATCTCTTTGGTTTTGAGACTTTAGTGTTTGCAACTTCAGGGATCTTATCTATTCACGAACAGCTTGTAACACTCCAAAGAGAAAGGAAAACTTGAAATCGCATCATATGACCCCTTTAAGGCTGAGATACAATTGGGAAAGTAATTACTTTTTCATGCACAAATACTTGGGCTTTTCATGTGTCACCATGAAAAGGTTGAATAAGTAACAATAAATTAAATAATTCAAACCATAAAAATGGAAATTAATCACTTTTTAAATTATCTAATCAGTTTATGCTCTAAAACAGAATAGTGAATTAATAAATATTTTTCAAAGGCACATTAAAAAAAAAAGCATTCGCCAATTGCTTTTCTTGGTCGTTTTATTCTCTTTTTCCCATTTGTCAATCCAATTAAAAATGCCAAAGGACAGTTCACTCTTTGGAGAGTTTTTTTCTTTCCTTTTTTGACACATTGCAGTCAAAAGCCATATTTCTCAAGATACATTTCATAATTGATTATTATAATTCAGTCAAAGACACTGCATGCCAACATTGAAGTCAATCAGATCATTGGTTTTGAGTAGTGCTGTCAAACGATTAATCACGATTAATCTCGTCCAAAATACAAGTTTTTGTTTACATAATATATGTGTGTGTACTGTGTATATTTATTATGTATATATAAATACAGACACATGCATGTATACATTTCAGAAAATTTTTTGTTTATATAATAAATATATTTATTTATAATATCAATTATATGAATATATAGACATGTAAATATTTTCAAAATACATACTGTGTGTGTATTTATATATACATAATAAATATACACAGAACACACACATTATGTAAACAAAAACGTTTATTTTGGATGCGATTAATTGTTTGGGACAGCACCAGTTTTAAGAAAATATCTTTTTTTGTTGTTGCTGTATATGTACAGTACTGCTTCCGCTGATTAAGTTACTTATTACAGGGCGAGGTGTTATGATGAACATGACTAGAAGCCAAATTTCCAGTTTGTGTTCTCTCTTTCTACACTAACATCTACCCCCCAGTACTATATCAGTTACTATAGCAAACAATGTAGATAAGCTGGATATTGACATGACGACGCTAATAAACAGAACATTTTACATTACTTTCAATTCTCATTTGTATTTGGAATTGGCTGCAGTGTTAAAACCTTGAAGTTCAAAGTTTTGCCAAAAGCACTTGTTGACGCACCGCTGTGGCGAGTAGGAAGTGGTAGGGCAGAAACTGCATTCTTAAGACGTCATTGAACTTCTTCACACAGTGGAGCTCCACACCTTTAGAGTCATAGATATAGAGCCATCTCTTCTGTGCCACAGCAAACATGGCCTCTGTATGAAGCCACCTGGAGGTAGAACGAAGAGCGCAGAGAGTGAGCTTTAAATAAGACCACAATGAGACAATTACTCATAACTAAAGCACAGGCGTGAAGGATAGGAAGGTATTGTGAAAAAAACCCTAAATAAAGTATTTGAAACTCTTTGACAAAAAAAAACTAGACTGACTCTCAGCTGGACCGTCAAATAAAACATTTTTCTCAAGAAATTCTACAACCACAGCCTGTTCTGCCTGGCTTGGCATTTTTGTTATGCAGCTATGCATTTAAGGTTTAAGTTGCAATATTGGTTGATACCAATACATCATGATATACACACAATCTGATATTCTTTCAGTTCATGAGCTTGCAATTTGATCCAACTGATCTTGATTCGATTTGATATCACTTAATTTGGATATGTATCAGGCACAGATCATGTACATTTTTCTCAGTAAAAATGCTGTGAACTTTATAGGGGAATCTGTCAGTACACTACTATAATATCAAAGGTTAAAATTAACTACTTGCATACAAACATTTAAATTGCACAAAATAGCAATAACAGTGTTTCTACTCCAATTAGGGTTGCAAAAAGGTGGAACATTTCCAGTAAATTTCGGAAACATTCCAGAAATTCTGGAAACTTTCCAGGATTTTTTGGAATATTCCAGGGATTTTTGGAAATTTTCCACCCCTTTGCAACCCTAACTCCAATTCTTTTTTTTCTTTTTTTTTTTAAATATAAACATTTTAACGGTGGCTGTCATTAAAACTTGTTCTTATGGATGTAATCAAATATACATTAAATACTGAAGAACAAGTAAAGTAAAAATATAATGAGTATTCAATAATCCAATAAAACGTTTCAATAATTAAATAAAACCTGTGTTGTCTGCGGTGTTGTCTTTGGTGTAGTGGGAGTGCAGGTAAACGATACAATGGGATTTTTCTGCACAAATTGCAAAGCAAAGCTGTCTGCTGACATTGATGTTTGTTTTGGTACAAGATCTTGCACATTTGAGTTGTGATTTTTGGTCAGAATGTGTCCAGTTGTGACTCACACCAGTTGTTAAGTGTGTTGTCTAGTGGACTGACTCCATTAGATTTGTGATTAGTCATTAGGTTTGTGCTCCTCAAAGACTAGCATCTGCTCCAATCACTGGAAACAGTATTTAAGTGCACTGAGACCAGTCTAAGAATGTTTCAGTTAGCTGTTAAGTGTATCCAAGCTTAAGTGAATAACGTGTTTATTACTGAATGACTTTTCTTAGGCAAATGCAACGCTGCGTGATATTCTGTACAAACTGTTTCACTGACGTCTTTCCATAGTTAAACACAGATTGAGTGATTACATGAGACATGACGCATTTCAGTAAGTTGTGCTGTATCTTTTAACATACATTATCATGTTAATTTTATGCTAAAACATCTGTCACAGTGCAGAATTAAACACAATTTCATAATAAAACTGACCAAATTTGAAAGCTAGGACTTTGCTCCAGTGATAATGGCTGCTACAACATGTGAAGAATGTGTGCCAGAAAATCAAAAGATATGTCTTAATGAATGTGCACTCACTTGACATCATTCACTGTTTCCATGACATTCATCTCACACATGAGGTCTTTGGTTTGCCAGTCGATGCAGGCCACATGACCTTTCTTTCCACCCACTAGTAGATGCCTGTTGCAGACAAATACATTTTTATGGATCTGTAATTTTTTAATAAATGCAATTCATGCAATGATTTCAATAAACCTTTCCCTATAATGAGCATATAATGAGTTGTCAATGTCTGGATTAAGATGCCCAAGGTATCCTTATGTAAATGTCAGGACATGTTTTTGATTTTAAATTTTTGAACAAGGTTCTTAAATAGTAAAGCACAAGAAAACAGTGATATACAGGATTGAAAAAAAAAGGTCCGTCAATAAAAATATCTAATCACAGGAATTTTTGTTAACATATTTATAATGGTTTCAAAATGCCTTTGTGTAATTACTAGGCTCCAAAATGTATAATACAGAAGGTGTACAGAATGTGTAAAGAGCAGCAGGAATCTACTTCTGTTCACAGCGAGTATAATCCAAACAAAGTGCTAACAAAACCAACTGTCAGGATATTATTACACAAGTGAGACAAACAACCTGTGTTTTCAATTTTATAAATACATAAAGAGAGGTTTTCACCAACAAGAACACTGACAAATTGACATGTTTAACACGAGATTTCTAAAGGCTCTTATTTGTTACTGACCCTTGAACCTGATAATACATCTATTAATCCATCCATTCTGAACTGAAGTATCAAGCAGAAAGTTCAAATGCTTCTATAATATTAATGTAATGCTATATTTGTAATAGGCCATAACTAAAATTGTCTGTTTTAATAAATATATAATTCTTTGGCACATACCGTCCAGTTCTGCTGTAGTCAAGCCTATATGGGCCAAACTGGGAAAGATGCAAGCTGAAGTACTGTAGGGAGAGAGAAAGAAAAAAAACTGAGTGGAACATGCAAAATACAATTAATCACACACAGACTCCTTCAGGACATAAAAACACGTAGTTGGTAAGGTCTGTAAACGAATCAAATTTTTTTTACACTTCATTTACATATGTTTGCTCACCTTAAACATATCGTTTTTGACAGATGTGTAGTAACAAGCAGAAACAGTACATTTTCTGAATATTAAAAAAAAAAAGTAATACTTTAACTTTGTTACATATCTCTAGACTCCTACGGTGCTTTTACAAGAGGGAAAAAACACTGCTGTGTACGGCTCAGTGATCCACATTAAATATAGTCCAAAAACAGAAGAGTAGTTACCTGGACAACAAATAATGCAACACATTTTCCACTGATAAATCTAAGGAGGACAGACTGTTCATGTAAGCCTTTCCCTGTGCTTTTTTAATGACCTAGATGACTGAATTCTTATACTGTACACAAAATCTATGTGGCAAGGCCCATGGTTTCAGCTAAAAATCATATTTACTGTTATGCTAAAGAAAAAAAGTCACCTACATCTTGGATGCCCTAAAAACACACAATAATCAGAGGCACACACAAAAAAATGTCTGATTGACTGGTCAAAAATGATATTGCTTTTTGCAATTATTAAAACATTAATGCTAATATTAATCCCAAAGCAACAATCAGGGTTTCTGCAGGATTTTTAAGCTCAAATTTAAGACCTGCACAAATAAAATTAATACCATATGAGCGGGGTAGGGCAATGTCTACAGTACCATATTAAACTGTAAAATTACTGTAAAAAGCATATTTTACAGTTCAGATACAAGTTTTCACAAAAACAAAAAGTTTTATAAAATGATAAACTTTATATTTCAGCCTTTAAACCATTTTTAAGAAAATGGATGAGTCAAAACTATTAATTACTATATTAATTTAAACAATTATTAACAATACATTATTATATCAATTAAATAACAAATTAGGGGTGTGCGATATTGACAAAAAATGATATCTCGATAATTTACAGGGACTTTATCGATAACGATAATTAGACAATATTTTGCTGAATGTGTTATTGTGCTGATACATTATCTCTAATTGTACTGACAGCTCCTGAATTTTTTTTTATATTCTTCATATTCTGTGTGGTCAGTTCACAGCAGTGATAGAAATTAATCATTTCAATTAAAATTGAAATGTCCTTCCGTTCCCAAATTTAAGACCTCTTGAAATCATAATTAAGACTTTCTTGTTCAATTTAAGACTTTTTTTAAGACCCACGGAAACCCTGAACAATGAAATCCTCCATCTGCGAAATTTATTAGCCCCTTTCACACATTAAACCCAAAAAATTAGCATAACCTTACCAGGCTGACTTTTTTGGTAAATACACCATACACGTATACTGTAAACACAAGCAACAGCGTACCATCTTTTTACCAGTTCCAGACCATTATACATCAGCATCAAAACACTGTGATGAAACTCTTGTGATGTTAAAGGGGTCCTATTATGCTTTTTCACTTTTTTAATTTTAGTCAGTGTGTAGTGTGTACACATAAACCCCAAACTCTTGGTTGATTAACATAAACCGTCTATTTTATTAAAATATAAACATTCTGTACTTGAAAAGATAATACGGCTGTAGTTTATTTATTTTTAGCCATTTTGCCGTTTCTTTATTATAGAAATACATTTTCTAGAAAATATCCTACTGAAAAGATAAATAAATAAACAAAATGCATGCGCTGGATACTTCTGAAGTAAACTTAACCCTGGGACATAATGTTCAGAGAATAAGTTGCTATGACTCCTTATAGTGGTGTAACTGTACACGTATTTGCAACGAAAACTTTGGTTCAGTGTACAGGTGTACCAAGCGAACACAGCATTGTTTTAACCACTACATCTGCAGAACTTCTTTATGTGTGGAACATAGTTAGAAACACTGTTTGTAAGACATATCAATATATTTTCAAACAAGATATAGGAGATATATTGGCTAATATTTTTGGTTTGGCCAATATGTTACTTTGACAGCGACGAGAACACCAGCACCTGAGTGCACGAGCTCCCTGTCTTCATTAGTTTACTGTCTCTGTTAAACAGTTCTGACTAATAAATTATTACGCAGATCTTTTAAACAAAGTCAAGGTATACAAAGAAGCGTGCATTTGTTGACTGCATAAAAATGAGTGCGCGTGAGCGTTCCTCTTTTTTAATTGAACCCTGACAGGGGAGTTAACAAAAATTTTTCAATACAACTTTTCACAAACTTTTATAAATGTGTTTTTGCTATCTTTATATTAAATAGTGTGACCCTGCTGTCCAAGACATCAGCATCACCAATCAAAAAATCCATATTGGCCGACCACTACTTAAAATATAAAGTCACATAGACTACTTTTCTTGTGCTTCTCTTAAGTCACTAGCTATGTTTCCATCCACCTATTTTATGCGCATTTTGGATCATCGCATAAAAAACGCTGGATGGAAACACCAAGATGCGCATGAATTCTAAAAATGCGCATAAAAAAACTTATGCGCTCAACTGAGTAGGATAAACTTTTTATCCGATAAGAAAAAATATGCATAAACTACAATGGAAACACATTTACCGAATAAATTCCTCCATGCGCATTGAAAAAGTCATGTGACTTTGCGCTATGAGACGGGATAACTTGACTAGCAGCAGACCGATCTCGTTCACAGCATCTATATGTTGTTTTGGTCGTTCTGAAATGCCTGAGCAAAGTCTGTCATGAAAGTATTTCTGTATAATTACTGTCCTACATGACTGCATTCCCAAACAGCAGGCATCCACCTCTAAAAGCAATGACCACATTTATTGTGTTACGTCTGCTCTCTCTGAAGCGCAAGTAATTTATTACATATGAAAATTAGGGATGCACCGAAATGAAAACTCTTGGCCGAAGCCGAACAAAATGAAACACTGGCCCGAAGGCAGCATGCCGAACAGTTTTTCACATTTTTCCCCCATGTAGGCCTTTTTGGCAATTTTTTTTCACCATTGCATAAATTAAATAGCCAAAATTTGCTTGTTACTGTTTTGTCCTGTTTTTCAAATTAAAAAAAATCAATTACAAAACAACAATTTAAAAATATTTACTTAACATTGAACATTTTTGTCAGATTTCTTAGGGGAAGTCGTGGCCTAATGGTTAGAGAGTTGGACTCGTAACCCAAAGGTTGCGGGTTCGAGTCTCGTACCGGCAGGGATTGTAGGTGGAGGGA